TTTAAATACTACTTTACAAAATATGCAAAGAAATGAACCTAAAGTACAATTTACAGTATCTGGTCTTTATTTTAACAGTTATTGCATCATATCACTGATTAATCTCACTTCTAATTTGCAAACCTGACAAAACTGTCTCCATTTATATCCAGCAGAGGGCTCTGTATGACAGAATTAGTAAAGTGCCCCCAAAAAGAAAAAAAGAGTTAAAACTTCCTGGAAGAAGTAACTGCCTCTTCCCTAACAGTTGTTTGGAGATAACCTCATCAAAGTTATTATACGTAATAAAAATTCTTTTTTTTTCACTCTTTTTTTATTTAAGGAGAAAAAAAACAGAAAAAGGATACAAGTTATACAGAATTTCAGAAAAAATAAACAATAGGAAATCACTAGTTAATAGATTACATATTAGAAATAGTTGTTCAAGTTACAAAATTAAACATGTAAAGTGGACTTTCAAACAGTGAGACTGCAAACAGTTTTGTTCAATGATCCAACAAAACTCAGTAATATGGTTATCTATCTTATACACTTATATATGCAGTTATATTCTTTAGAGCACTTTCTTTTCCTTTTTTTTTTTTTTTTTTTTTGTACAATGACAATTACACATTTTGGATTTTATTACTCCCACAGTTATTACTTTTTTTTGAAGAGAGTAAAACCAAATGTGACATAGCAGAATAGAGTCAGTCAAATCAAAAGGATGGACATAATAGATAATGTAAAAACAAAATACTAGGTGATCAACAATAGTTACCATACTGCTTCTTACTATCTTAAAAAGAATTGCCTATATCAATAAAATTGAATGAAACAGTAAAGAATAAAACCAAAACATTGGAGACATTACAAGACTTTAAAAGAAGATAATAGTCAACTGGAATGGGCATCATAATGAGTCTTATTGTCTTTACAGTTGTTGCCTATACTTTCGAACTTGGTACTATCAAGCAAAGCAGAATAGAGGAAAATCAGTCACAGCAAGATGGTGAGGGCTATACAGGGTTTCAAATCAAGTTAATAGGAAATCAAAGTGGGTTACTATAATGTATCCTGCTATTTTTTTATTTTTCCCTTAATTAAAAAGATAAAAATAAAAAGTATATAATTTTAAAAAAAGAGATAGATAAAAGAAGGCATAACAACAAAACATCACAGGTCAAAGCATAACCATTTAAGCAAAATAGTGTTTCACCACAAGATATCCTGACATAAAAGTAGTTACCATCGTGTCTCTTTCCTTGAAATCTTTGAGTATAACTTCATAGACTGTAGCACCAAACATATCAAAACAATGTAAAACCATTCAAGAGAATGACAGTATTACAGGGTATTTAGAATCAACTATCAGAAAAAGAACAATGGTTTCTGTATAATCTCCTTGTCTATAAAAGTGTTTGCTTATATTATCACATATAATAAAATCCAGTAAGATACAACCTGTTAAGACCGATGGAGACAGAAGAATAAAAGCTTGATGGGACTTCAAAGCAAGATGATACTAAATCAGCACTAGCTATTATGATGTCTTGTTTTCTCCAAAATAGCTGTTCCTACCATCCAATCTTCTCTGCCTCATTTCTGTTGAGCTCTTTTTCTGTCATTTGTTGTCAGTTTGTCTTCTTCATTTCGTTTTCTGCTCCATTCATTGTGGCCTCTCTGCCACCGTTTCTGAAGTCTTGGTATTTTCCTTTTTTTAGAATATTCTGCAGTATTCTCTGTAGAGTTGAATTGGTGGTTGCAAATTCCCGTAGTTCCTCTTTATCCTGGAGGCACCTTGTTTTTCCATCAATTTCTAGGGACAGTTGTGCAGGATATATCAATCTTGGCTGGAAGTTGTTATCTTTCAAAGCTTGAATTATTTCCCCCCACGGTCTTCGTGATTTGATGGTTTGTGCCCAGAAGTCTGCTGTAATTCTGATGGGTGTTCCCTTGTAAATGATCTGTTTCTTGTCTCTGACGGCTTTTAGTATTCTGTTCTTATATTGGATTTCTGGAATTTTGATTATTATATGCCTGGGTGTAGCTCTGCTTGGGTTGTAGGTGGCTGGGGTCCTGTATACCTCATACATCTAAGTATTTTTACCTTTTGCTAAATTAGGGAAATTCTCTTGGATTATTTCTGTGAATAGTTTTTGTAGTCCATTTGTTTGTGTCCCTACTTCCTCTTTTATGTTAATTCTTAAGTTATAGATCCTCTTATCATCTTCTAGTCTTTGTATTATTGCTGTTTGTTTTCTTGTTGTTTTTAAGAAGTTTTTCATTTCATGCTCCCATATTACAAATCTGCCCTCCAATTCAGATATTCTATCCTTAGTTTCTTTCAAGCTGTTATGCCAGCTTTCAATAGAGTTTTGAGTTTCCTGGTAATCTCTTTGAACCTGCTTCACGTATTCTGTTTTCTCTATTTTCTCCATCAAACAATTCCCCTCTTTTTTTCTGTTCTTCAATTCCACCATCTATTTTTTCTTGGGCAGTGTTTAGTATTTCTCTAACTATTCTACTTATATCTTGCTTTATTTCATTAAATACTTCATTTTTAAACTCGTCTATGATGCTCTGGAGATATTGCTTTATGTCTATTGGTGCCGTGTCTGATATTGCATGTTTTCTGTCTTCCTTTGCGTTTCCCTTTCCTGGATCAGTGTTCTCAGGATTGGGGACTGAGGACCCTTTCTTTTTGCTTCCTCTTCCCATACTTTTTGTTCTTTCCATACAAGCGAATGTAGGAGGCCCAATTTTTTTCTCTTTGTCGGTTACAGTTTGTTTGAATTCGCTGGCTAGGTGTTTCCACCCACTGCAGTGTACTAGGGAGACACGGACCTGGGCAGCCTCTGCTGGGCCCACCCCTCCAGGTCAACCTACCAAAGGCTTCACTGCTAGGGTGCACCTCCAGGCACTGGGACCTGGTTTGGGCTAGCCTACTGGGTGTTAGCAGCGTTATGCAGGCCATGTGCTCCCCAGCAATCCCGCTTGAGAGGGGAATATGCGACTAATGTCACTGCAGCACCCTGTTCCGGCAAGTCTGCCCGGTCCCAATATGTCCTTTGCAGGAGCCTCCTACTCTATGAAAGGATCCCCCGTTCCGCTCACTCACCGCAAGTCGATGTAGGGCTGCCTGCTAGTCCTGCTCTCAACTCCATTCGCAGATTCCTGCTCTCAGAGCTTTCGCACATCTCTCTCCCTGCCCTGCAGATTTGGATGCAGCAGCGACATCAGGAAATTCAAATCGTGGCTTCCAGTGGCATGGGTTCTAGCTTCTGCGCTGAGATTTTATCTGTTCCTGTTATAGCACCAGGATTGGATTTCCAGTTGGTTTCTCTTAGCTTAGTTCATTCCTGGTTTGGCAGGGTGTATCTCCCCTTGCTTAGGACTCCTTGTACCACACCATTCCTGGATTTTAAGCAGGGTATCTCAGAGAGCCTGCGTAGCTGCTGCTACCTATCCACCATGTTCTTCCAGAAGTCGGCAGTGATCTTTCACGTAATAAAAATTGTTAGAGTAATCAAAATTGGCTTTTATGTCCTTTCTTTGATCAAAAAGTACTCAACTTATAAAGAACCCAATGTCTACATGGATGTGAAGAACTTGCCAATAATATATTTTTAAATAAACCTGTGAATGCAAACATGTATTTCCTAGATCTGTTTGGTGAGGGGTCCTGGAGCAATCACTCACTGTAACAATAAGCACACCTTGCAGAGAAATCATGCATTCAAAACATCACTCTTCCATAAAAGATACCAGTCTCTTTGAAGAAGTTGTTGGTTCCAGGACTGTGATAGAAAAAATACAAATTCATCCCAGATGGGGGCATATCAAAAGACTACAGGAGTTCTAATAGCCAGAGCCTAAAGGAGTCTGAATAATGAAAATTCGGCTAATTTAAGTAACAAAATAAAAAAGGATAATAGTGGATTGTCACTAACAAAATATAGTAAATATCCATATGCCCATATTGATATAGACAAACAACTCAGTGCATAAGTAAATGGGAGAAAGTGTTAGCTCTTACAGAAGAATTCCAAATAATATTGTGGGAACAATAAAAACAATACAAAATCATCATCAGACAAACTCCACAGTAGTAATTTTTGCAGGCAAGATCCACTTACAGAAACTAAAATCAGTGGAAAAACTTGACAAACATCACCTTAATCAAATGATCAATGTTAACCTCACCAGGATAACACAAGCAACACCACATACTTCCTGGATGACGCACTGAGAAAACTGTAACATGCCTTCGGGGGACTTCATGCCAGAAAGGCATAGCTGTGATCTAATCTTAAGAAAACCAGGCACTATTCCAAACTGAGACATAAAATAACTGATTGGTATTCACATCAAGTGTCAAAATCCTAAGAAGACAAAGAACAGAACTCAGTGCAATATGGGAAAAAGATGTGGTGGAGACATGCTGATGAGAATTAAGCTTGTAGTTTAGTAAATATGGTAACAATGTTAATTTTCTGGCTCTGATCATTTTCCTCTGATTAGTTTCTTTGCAAAGTTGTTAATATTAAAAGAAACAGGGTGAAAGCTGTACGTGAATATGCCACTATTTTTGTAACTTTTCTTTAAGTCTAAAATAATAGGTTCTTTTAAACCCTTGAAAATGTCCTATGGGTAATCCTGGATGTTAGTTCCTTTTTCTTAATTTAAAACATCAATAAAACCTGTAAAAGGAAATGTGCAGATTATTACCTTCTCTTTAATTTAGAATATTTCATTTTTACCAAACTTGCGACGGTGTAATCCCACATCGCTCTTCACTAAGGACAATATGAAAACATAGGTATCCTCCCAGGAATTTATGAAGCAGGGAGACTTTTCTGCTGTCTTCTCTCTAGGAGGAGGCTGCCAGATTAGGCTTTTTAATTCTATTGTCTGCTTTAAATATCTAAATCACTTTTGTTGGCAAGGAACAGAGGAACCCTAAATTCAGTCACCTAAAGAGCTTAACCTCATGGTGTGCTTCTGTGTCCCCTCCATAGGAAATGATGGACATTGTCAAAGCCATCTATGACATGATGGGGAAATACACATATCCTGTGCTCAAAGAGGATACTCCACGGCAGCACGTGGATGTTTTCTTCCAGGTAAGGACACAAGCCTCATGCCCAATGTAGGTGAACCAATCATGACTTCTGAGTAAGTGGATTGTGTCCGACTCTATTCTAAATATTATAGGAAACAGAAAAGAATTACAAGATATATTGTCTGCAAGGAATAGATAATCATGTAAAGCAGATAATTGTATATTATATCACAATTGTATATTATAACATTATTTGTTATAAGTGCTATTAGACAGCTGTAAGTTTCATAAAAATTCTTGAAGGATTCAAATGAACTGAGAAGGCTTCATTAATCCTTAAGTGTTATATATTTGTGTCTGGGTAGTAAGGGTGTCAGCCCCCTTGGGGGACCCAAAGGAGATTTACATGGGTGAGATCCTACAGTTAAAGAACACATGTGTAAGACATGCTCCAACAGCATGGAGCAGAGCAGAGCACAAGAGCAAAAGAGTGCGAGGGCCCGAGAGCCGCCTGCATCTTTACTGTACAATTCTTATACAAGTTTCTGGCTCATACTTACATCTCACACAGTGCTGTAACAGCATATGTTTGTTTACCGGTGCTGAGTCCTGATTATATAACTGTATCCCACCGCACATCTGCACAAGACAAGTGGGGTCACATCCTCAGGTGTCCTTAGATGCCCCTGAGCTTTGAAGCACTCTGAATGGTTTCCTGCAAAAGGAAAATAAAATTTGAAACTAGGATAAGGCCAGACTGTAAAGTCTTTAAATGGAATGTTTAGACCTGCTCTGGTAAAAGGTGAGTACTGCTGACCCTTCAGTAAGGGAGACACATCGTCATAGCAGCCATTAGGGGGGTCTCATCTTAGTCAAATCTTCTCACTCTGCAAGTGGAAAACAGAGGTCTTTCTGACTTGTCAAAAGCTCACACAGTATTTAACAGAGAGAGAATGTGTACCTCCCATGTTCAGTGCTCTTTCTTCCAGAGGTACAGTCTAGTAGAAAGTTTAGGTAAGACATAGGCTATGGTTTAGAAGTGGTTTGAGACTGACCCCCAAAGGTTTGTGTCCTGGAGCCTTGGCCCTCAAGGTGACAGTATGAAAGGGAGTATAACCTTTAATAGGTGGGACCCATTGGAAATAACTGGGTCATTGGGAGCATGGTCTCAGAAGCAATTAATGCTCTAGTCCTTGTGAACATGAGTCATTGCACAAAGAGTAAGACTGGCCCTTCCTCACTCTGGCTTTCTGCTTTGCCATGTGATCTTAGCCACATGTACTCCCTCCATTCTGATACCATCTTCCATGACATACTCACCAGAGCCGAGCAAAAGCCAGCATCAAGTCCCATAACTCTCCAGAGATGTGAGCTAAATAAACATATTTTCTTTGTAAAGTACCCAGTCTCAGGTATTTTGTTATAGCAACAGAAAACCAACTAATACAACCCAAGGAGATGTCAAGATAATATAGCAATGAGATGATCTGCAGCCAGACTTTGGATTTCAGGAAGCTCATCAGGGTCAAAGTGCTGTAACATGCACTTTGTAGTTGTCTGTCCAGTGAAAAAACCATTGTAATTTGCAGAGCAAAGTTGGTTAGTGAAAATTAACCAAATTAAAAGATTTTTTTTAAGTGCTCCTCCCTGTTGTGTCTTTCAGAAAATGGACAAAAACAAAGATGGCATTGTGACTTTAGATGAGTTTCTTGAGTCCTGTCAGGAGGTAAGAAAGAGACCTCACGGAATAATATCACTAAATGGGGCGGGGGGGCTTGGAGTCCTGCCAAAGAAAGGAATGAGAAACGTACACATAGCTGTGTCCCTTCCAATCAGCCAACAGCCACAACACTAGCAAAACTCTCCAGTCCACCAGTCTGCATTCCTTAGCCTGGTCTGTGGTTAGTTGTGACTCTAAAGCAGGCTTGAGCAGAAAGCCCAAGCCCAGCTCTGGGGCAACACTGTCATTTTTCAGCCTTGTTATGGCTTTATGACCCACTCCAGCCCACAAGGAGACAGCTGGGGGAAAAAAATCTACAGTTGTGATTCTCACACTATAGTAGAAAATGTGTATTTATTTCCAGATCTGAATTTCAGAGACTAGATCTAGGGTGGGATCTAGAATTTGTCATTATAATGCAAATGTCTTCGACCAATGCTGCAAGAACTTTAATATACAAACCAGACTTCCTGAGTGTCTTATGAGAATGAAGATTCTTACTTCTGGGATTTGGGTTGGGGCCTGAAATGCTAACCCTCTCCTAGGAGATACCAGCTGCTGGTGCTACCATAATAATTTTATTAAGTCTTATGATGAGTAGATTTATCCTGGCTGTCTGCCAGAGACAAACCTAGAATTCCTTCATCTACTTTAGACAAAGTAATGTATACACCTCTATTTTTATTTCAGAAAGATACATAGTTACACTGAGAACCACCCAAGAATTGAAATACAAAGACACAAAGAAGAGCCCCTACCATGGTTTAGGCACATTACATAAACGTCACAACAACCATATAAGGTAGCTGTCCTATATGCTGTGTGATGGAATACTTAACAACTGAAATAGATCACTGACCACTGTTAACTGCCCTAGAGGATCTCTGCTATACGTGGGTGATTCAGCGAGCTTAGACAAGTTACTAGTTAGAAAGTTATTTAAGAGAAGAGGATTAGATTAGCTGTTATTTATCAGTAGGGTCAGAAGTATTTTAGCATTTAATCATTACAAACTGAAAAACAATAGTGAGTGTGCCCATTTTCACAAAAACTACAAGACATGTGACTAAGACCACAGTAAGTGAAAGATGAAATTTAAATTCTGTAAACTAATTTTAATACCACATCTGACCTAAAGTACACTTTCTTGACTTGCTTACCAGGTGAAAATGTCTTTAAAATCAGTGTAGTCTCTCACGTTAGCAACTTCTGTAACTATTCATTAATACAATAACAAAAGCCAGTAAAACCAGAATTCTCTTTTTAAAGAAAATTTTAATATAATTGATTAGAAAGAGAAAACTCAACTTGTCGTTATCAGCAGTAAAAAGGATAACATTGCACAGGCTTGACATTAAAACATAATAGCCATTATCTAACAAACTTGACATCTTATATGAAGTTATAAATTCCTCACAAAGCAGTTTATCAAATCTAATACAAGAAGGAAACAAAAATCTAAATACTGTAGTCCTATATGTGTTAAAGATATTGGATATATAATTTAAAACATTCCTCCAGGAAAAAAATAGCAGGTTCAAATAGGGTCACTGGCACATTCTTCCAAACATTTAAGGAACAAATGATATTAATTTTATACAAACTCAAGGAACAGAGAAAAGGAGAAACTTCCCAACTTGATTTATGAAGCTATTGTAACTTTAATAGGAAAACTTGAAAGGCTAGTTTAACAATCAAGAATTAGTCACTGTAATTAATCACATTAATAAAAAAGAAAATACAATCATATCTGTATATGTAGAAAAATCATTTGACATAGTGTGATTGCACAGAGCTTCCTTTAAAAACCAGCTCAAAAATAAAAATAAAAACATAAAACACAGCTCACTGTTATACTGGATAATTTGTTCTTCTGCATCCCTCCTTAAACTGTAAAAGTATTCTGCCTCAGTTGATCATTTTCTAGGAACTTCACCCCCTTATTCCTTGTTTCTGACACCCGCATAGACTTCTTTCTGCTAAGAAACCATGCTTGAGATTTGCACACCACAGTTACCAAACTTCTTAGGCAGCTGCTGCAAAGATCCCTAACCATCCTCTCTTTCCTTGCTCCCTTCCCAGGATGACAACATCATGAGGTCTCTCCAGCTGTTCCAAAATGTCATGTAACTGGGGACACTCAGCCACCCAGCTCTCAGAGACATTGTATGATTTTGTTCTGATTTTACACACCAATTCTTGGGACAGAAACACCTTTTACATTTTGGAAGAATTTCCCGCTGAAGACTTTCTATGAAACCCAGCATCTAATGGCTCAATCTCTGATCGCCAACTCTTCCTTCTGCCTCCTCTTGAGAGAGACACAATTCAAGTTTGTTTCGGAAGCATGCCCGTCTCGTCACACTGCTACTCTGTGGAAGGCCCATCTGCTTGAGCTTAAACAGTAGTACACAGTTTTCTGCTTATGTGCCCCAACCCACTGCCTCCAAATCAAGCAGACTTTGTTCAATTTGGAAGCCAGAGGACCTGAGCCAAATGCACACCATCCTCTGATGGCCTCCCAACCAATGTGCCTGTTTCTCTTCCTTTGTGGGAAGAAAGAGTGTTACACAGAACAATTAAAATCTACCTTGACTAGATTGGGGGAGGCAGCACCTAAACATGTAGAATAGGACTGGATTACTAAGCATGGCATTGTCTGATGATCTAAGCTGCCCATGTCATTCATTTCCAGGCAAGGATTAATAATTCTCTCACACTAGCATCTGTGCTAGTAGTGCAAGTTGCAAGTCTCTTAACATGCCCAGGAAGAGAGCCATTGCCCAAGTGGTAACTCCTCTCCATCCCCTGCTCCAGCCCATCACTGCATGTCCCTCCCAAAAAGTCCAGAATGCCTGCAAATTGCTGTAATTTTATACCATGTTCTAATCAATAAATAGAATTATTTCTTACACTCTGAATCATTTCTTCCATCAATCCATGGGGCAAGAGAGATAAGAAGTAATCATCACCTCTTACTTTGAGAAGCTGAGTCCATGCAACTGGCATGCAGTTTCTAGTGCTTCCTTTGTGCCATGCATCATGCCAAGCAGTGACATCTCTCCCCAGCCTCCAAAGCGTCCTGAGCAACATCCACTATGAATGCAAATATTATGACACAGGCAAATGCAACTTCAGCATCTCCCTCTGATGACAAAATTGCCACTCCTAAATCCTTGTAAGGTGGAAAGATGATGTGGTCAGGGATACAGAAATGGAAAAGTGGACAGGTTCTCCTGCAGGTTCTCCTCCTGACTTGGAGTGCATACTTTGATTAAGTGGCTTCATCCTGTAACCAGCAAATGATTACCTAAGCTAAACACTAAGCATTTTGATTTTCCTGTTTTCTATCATATTGAGAGGATTAAGATCTAACAGTAATATTCTTGGAAGAAAAGCAATTTGCCAAACCCCACTATGTGCCTAGTGCTTTCCAGGGTGCTCTGTATACATTGTCTTATTTCATGCCCATGGTAGAGCATTCCAGAAGGTGAAGTCCCAGTTTTGTTGATGACGACACTGAAGTTCAGAGAGGTGAGGTAACTGCCTGAGGCAGTATATCTGATAGAAAACCTTGCCATTCTATCAAGGAATTCTCCCTGCCCAAGAACATGAGGGTGCCTCCACCAATCTCATTCATTTGGAATCAGTTCACAGAGGGTTGGGTTTTCTTTGAACCCATCTAACAACTGAGTACACTGGCAGAGAGAAAGGGGATTGTCTCAGGTATCCATGGGTCACTGCAAGGAACAGTCTTTCACCAGACCTCAGGCACCATCCAGCCCCTGGCTGCACCCTTTCATAGTTGGAAATTGTAGGGGATACAGTTCCTATGTTGGAGCTTCCTCATCATGCAGTCCCCTAAGGTTGCTGGATATGTGGCTAGTCTCCAGCTGAGGGGCCACCTAGACCCAAGGAGAAAATCTACACATGCCTCTTTCTGTGTGTTCTCTGCACCTGCAGCATGAGGCCAAGGCCAGTGGTTCTCTATCCTGGCTGCACATCGGTGTCATGAAGGGACAAGCTTCACTGTACTTGTGCCCCAACCCAAACTGATCAAAGCTGAATCTGTAATGAGACCTGGGCACTGTAATTCTTTAGAAGCTGCCCAGTGGATTGTAATGGGCATGCAAAGCTGAGATGGGGAACTGACCACATGCAGCACTGGGAAGGAAGGAAGCATGGTATCTGAGCCCTCAAACAGCCACAATGACTGATTCAAAAATAGGCCTGTGACCTGACCCAGTGCACAAAGGAGGAATCTCAAACTAGTGCCAGGAATGATGGGACAAAGATGTTGTCCGTGCTACAGAACAGGAATGAGGAAACACATAACTTGGTGGCAAGTATTTTTGGAATCTTGAGAGTTTACATAATTCCCAAAGGGCTAATAAAACATAAAGAAGGTAGAGAGTTCAAAAAAAGATCAGAAACTGCCTGTGATGATATGTATCACAGAGCTGCTGAATCAGACTGCACTTGGAGCTCCATGTACTTCTGTCCTTCTCAGATGTTCATGATCAGTACCTATATAAGGTCTCAGTTCCTTCCAGATATCATCACCACCCAGGGAGCAGAGACATGGAAATATTTCTTGAAGTGCAAAATTCCTGGGCTGTAACTCAGGGGAACTGAGTCAGAATCTCTAGAGGAGCTCTGAGCATTGATAAGCACAAAGCTCCTTAGGTGACTTTAATGTACACTTAGGGCTGAGAACCTCAACTTTAGGACAGAGGCACATGTCTCCCTGTGTTGTCCAAACCTCAGGTCATAAACAAAACTAATCCCTAAGCATCCAGCACTGAGAAGAAAATCAGCAGCTCTGAATATCCAGCCAGACATCAGAGAGGAAGAAAACTTCAAAACAGTCTTCAGATGAGCAACCAGCATAAAGGTAAACAGTTGCCCTGGTGGGTGAGGGGGAGAACATGCACGGAGGGGCATTGATTCCATTTCAGGCTTATCTTCCTGCTCTCTTAAATCATCCAACAAATGGTCACCATTTGCCACTCATCATGCCTGCTAACTGGAACTCAGCCACGGAGCACATGCCGTGCCCACATTCACATGGCATTCCCATCACTATGCAAGTAGATTCAACTTCCACCCACTGTAAATGCCAGAGACTTTATCTGTGACTGACTTTCACAGAAAGAGCCTGGCTGTGAGGAAGACCCCATTCTGCCATAGACAGGGCAAGTTGAGAGAATCAGGTCATCTGCATCTGCAAGAAGCAGTGCTTAAAGCCATGACTGAGAGAACTGGCAAATCCAGCTCCTCGAAGCAGGAAGCTCTCTGAGGTCTTTCTTGTCTATCTCCCTGCTTTCTGTAGTAGGACAGAACTCAATCATCCAAAGCAAGAACCTCTGATGAATGAGACGGATAAATGATGGGGAGGGACTAGTCCGGCTGGTGGTGGCAAGGCCTCTCTGAAAAATAGAAGTTCTCTATAGACAATATCTTACTTGAGATTTGCCATGATTTGGCTATGGCTTAAATGTGTGCCCCAAACATTCATGTGCTAGAAATTTGGTTCTAGGGTGTTAATGTTGGGAGGTGGCCAGAGCTTTAAGAGTTCAGCTAAATTTGGTGCTAAGTGATTAGATCACTAGGGCACCATGCTCAGAAGGAATTAATGAGCTCAGTTAGCTCTCAGTTCAGGGTTGTTATTAAAGATCAGAATGGCCCTTCTCATTCTCTTGCTTTCTGCCTCACTATATGTATTCTCCCACTCTCAAGTGTCCCCATATGTCATACCTCTGGGGATTGCTGTCATAGTATTAGAACATGAGCCTATGGTGCCCTCTACCAATGGATTTTACCTGAACCAGTGGAGTCACCCCAAGTTGGACTTCCAGCCTCAAAATCTATGAGCCAAATAAACTGCTTTTCTTTATAAAAATATCAAACCTCCAGTATTTTGTATCGGTAATAGAAAACTGACTAATATACATCTCATGACCACATTGTGAGATAGATATTTTAGACACCTGTTTTTCAGATGAAAAAAAAAAATAATGCCCAGGGATATGGAGGGACTTGTTAACACAGCTGGAAAATTCTGCCAAACTTCAAAACCCATGCCCAGCTTTGTTTCCTAGTGAGAATAAAAAACATTCTCCACCTTATTCCTAAAACTAATCTTTAATGATACACAAACACCAGAAGGTGTTGGAAAACAGCTACCATAAAAACTACCACTAAAAAGCAATGAAAACATGCCCATGAATCCAAGCCCAGTTACTCTTCCTGCAGAGGGAATACTGCCAAGGACATGTGCAAAGATGGCCATATGGATTTCTTAGACAAACTGAAATGAATATATTCTTCAAAAGAAGGTCCACATCAAAAGAAGGTCCCATTTAATTGTCAGACTTCAGCAGGTTTTGCACTCCAGGCTAGTAGTTGACTGGGAACCAATAAAACTTAGGACACAAAGAGGTAAGGGAAACCCTGGAGGCAGCCAATTCTACAGGGTGGAATTTTAAAGACCTGTGATGTTGTTGGGGAGTTGACTGTGTTCCCAGTTCTAGAACCAATGCACACAGCACTGGGCCACGCCAGCAATACCTCCTGTGCCACTGGCTACCGTGATGGGCTCAGGAGTAAGCAGGACGCCTAAGCTAATTCAAATAGCAGGAACATTCTGGCTTTTACAGAGAATAATGCCACAAGATTATTCATTTTCTAGGTGGCATGGATGAGAAAGACACAGCGCTGGCACCTACAGACAAGCACTTTGTAACCAGAAGCAAAGCCACCTGCAACTGAGCATAATTTACTACAGAAATCAAGGCAGAGATGAAAAGAAAGGGGGTTGGTAATGTCATTGCACTACTCAATCAAGCTTCTTCTGAAGCTACTTTATCTCTAGTATTTTTGTTTGCATGCACCAACAAATATCAGTAAGTTCATTTTTCATTATTTAAAGCAGTTCCAGTTTCTGTAACTTCAACTTGAACATCTTACCCTATTATACCGTCATATGGCAGATAAGGCAACAAAAACCCATAATTACCCAGCTGCACAGAAGTAAAGCTCAGACAAGAAACCCAGTGTAGCCTCGTCTCCACTACATTACTCTGGGATGTACTTTGAAGAAACCATAACATAATGGCACATATTATTTGTTAAGCACTTACTGTATGCTAAATCATTCACATATATTTACCTCATTCAATCCTCATAACTCCAGACTTAGCCCTATTATGATTCCCACTCACTCATGAGGAAATAAGAGTTCAAAAAGTTAGGTAATGTGGTTATGATCAAGCAGTTGTGTAGGAAAGGGTAGAGCAACAATTTAAATTCAGACCTTTCTGACTTTTTCGCTTAATCACTGACTCAGGAAATATCAAGTTTAATGTGTGACCAGACCCAGGAAGTTAAAATAATGAGTTTCAAACCACAACAGACATGCTTAGTATAAAGAAGGCAACCACATCACACCACCAGGATTCCTGCAGTTTTGTTGGAAATTAGCCCATTGTTACTGAATCCACTTTAAATAAAAATTTAAAATCTGGACTCATACATAAAATCTCCCAGGTTCATATTTAAGCAACTATTCAGTATTGAAAAGATGCTGCACAGACTAAACCAAACCATTGTAAGACATGGATTTGGTGCAACACACAAACACTTCTCTAAATTCTGTTATTTTTCCTTGCTAGTGAATGATTGGCATGTACTATGTTATGCATAGAATGTCATGCTGCATCATGAATATCAGTAACTAGGAAATAGTAACCCATGTTAGTATTGTATAACATGTTAAGAGCTCCTAGTGCTCCTGCCCTAGTTGACTGGGATCTGAAGGGACAAATAAGCTATAGCTTGACATTAAGGTGGGAGCTTTCAATTCAAATGGGTCATCACTACAAAGGCAATGGATATTTAAAGGATATTGTAT